ATTGAGTAACACTCAAACAAACTTACATATATGCATACATACATATATACATATATACACACATACAGAAACATTTTCCAATCCCGTTGAGATGAGTCTATTGGTATATGCCATTCGTCTCTCCGGGTCTTGAAACGGAATTCCGGAGAACTTCGAGGTTAGGGTGTTATTGCTTTTGTAAACAAACGCGTCAATCACCGATTTCTTGCGAATTAAAGCTCAATCTTTAAAACTAACAACACAAACAGGTAAGAGAATGACTCCTCTATCATTTGGTATAGTTTGTTTGCGAGATTGAGCTTTTAGTCGCAAGCAATCGGCGATTGACGTGTTTGATGTACGAGAAGGGCAAAAAAGGTTGGTATCAGCAAATTGTGTTATATTTAGCCAAGTTTTTCTCCTCCAGCTGTGTAATTATTTTGCAAAATATAATGAATATGTTGCTTGATATATCTTATTTAAAACTGTATTTGTAAAATCGTTACAACAATGTTAGTGTTTAGCGCCAATTCATCGTACTTGGCTTCGTTGTACTCTCCATTTCTCGATGATCTTTATATCGATATTCCTTCCTATCTGAATCGTTTCAGCAACAACACTTTTTGAGCACGAAGTGTTTAGAATCGTATTAATAAGCTTATAAATTGCTCTTTTCATTGTCGATTTCTCCATATTTAGGTGGTGAAAAGTTGAATCTCTCTCTAAGATGTGCTCGTTTCCCCGCTGCTGGCGTGCAAAAGGACCAGTACTAAGTAACTAACGGATTTCCACACTACATGGCACATAAGGCCGACTCAAATTTAAGTTTAAATAACTCAAGCTCTAGAAAACGTAGTTTACTTGTGGACTGAGTAAAATTTAACAAAAATCGACGAAAAATTTTCTCATATTCATTAGAATTTCACATAACTTTCATGTGATATCATAATTGGGAATTGCACCACAAAATCACATGAACCGTATGTGTCAAATGAAATTTAAGTGATTTATCATATATAACTCACGTGATCACATGAATATTATGAGAAATTCCGATAGATATCATTGGTTTTGTTAATGGGAAAATGTAATTTCCAATGGAAACTACATGAAATATTTTTTCGGTGTACTAATTTCATATGTACATGTACATCATTAAAAAGTTCAAATGAACTAAAGTTGAAAAGACGCATCTGTGTCACTTGTTAATTCATACATGTAAAACCACACAAATACCAGAAATAAAGATCATTTAAAGTAAAAAATAAAAGTTGTCTATTTCGTGGTGGAGGAAGTTTCCTCTACCAACCACAAAGGATTTTTTGTATCCATTATGAAAGGCTGTTCATGGCTTTTAATATGGAAATGTAAACAATCTAATTAATAATCTAATCCAAAGCAAGTCATCTTATCCTTACATTGTTGTCCTCTGAGCCCTGTATGTTTTACAGTCAATTTTCAAATAACTATCACCCTTTATTTTGAGGCAGTCATATGGATGATCGTCAGTTGATGACGAATTCAACCATAAGGAAATCATCCGAAATTCGACAGCATATTGTTAATACTCGAGCAATACAATAATCAGTCGAAGTATTGCGGATGTTTTTGTTCAGTGTACAATCAGAATCACTCAGCTGGTTTCGCAACTGCCCGGAGACACTAGATGTTCCACCGGAAACTACTTTCACAGCGTAGTCCTATTTGAAGGGTTCGCATACGGTCCAACCAACCCGAGCATTCCCTCCGGGAATTGCCTGGCAAGAAAAGTCTACAAACGAAAATCAAGCTGAACATTGCATTAGGTCCTAAGTAACAATGATTGATTCTCTTCGTCGACCTTCTCTTTCATTAATATTTTGAGCACATAACTGTTTCTCGTTGTGTTTGTCGTATTAGATGCTAGATAAAAGTTTCTATTATCAATCTGTATGCCAAAAATACCTGAGAATATATTTACATGGCCGTGGGAATATAAAGAGAAAGTCGACGAAGAGAATCTGTCAATGTTACTTAGGACCTAATGTAATGTTCAGCTTGAAATGTGATACACATGCGCCAAGTTCTGAGTGTTCAGTTCTGTGACTTCAGCGTTGTCAGATTGTTATCAACTCTCAATAAACATTTCAAAAGGTCCTATCTGATTTGATCGATTCTCTTCATCGATTTTTTTTCGTTTAAAAAAATCGACATAGGTATATCGGTTTTTACAATTTTAATTAGTTTTTATTTTTTACGGTTTTCGAAGGCGAAAATTTGAACTCGGAAAACATTGTCGAGGAATGTTTGAACTGGCTTCTGAAAGAACATTCAAAGTTTTTTTTTTGTTACTTCATTCGTGTAAGAGATGAACTAGCCTATGGCTAAAAATCTCTTTAATAAGAAAAAAAAAAAAAACTTCATTCGTGAAGTTTACGATTTACGGAGTTGGTTGGAAATGCTATCTAACATGACGCTTTAGTGTGATAATTTATTTGCTAGAGAAAGGTCTGACGAGGATAGGTTGATAGTTCCGCTAGAGTACGACAGTATGAAAATAGAATAGAAGTTAAAAATGAGCGAAGGGCCTAACTCATACATGATGAGACTTGAACTTCAAATTTACTATCTCATATACTGTCTGCGACTGTGGAATAGTTCTAGCGACGTTCCATCACTACCCAAAGCCCCACGTTGCCGAAAGCATTTCCAGTCGATGGTGTGTTATAATGCAATTATTCCTCTTTACTATTGTGTTGCTCCTCTCGTCATGACCTACGTAGTCATCTCAGAGAGAAAGCAGTAGGGTGGCTGTTGCGTGCTGTACCATCATCAGCATTGTTGACGGTTACTTCATACGTGAAGTTTACGATTTTCAGAGTTGGTTGGAATGCTGTCTAACATGAAGCTTTAGTGTGATAATTTATTATTTAGAGAAAAGTAAGGGTAGAGAAGAATTGTATTATAACACACCAGGTAGCATAGGTAGTGATGAAACGTCGCTAGAACTATTTCACAGCCGCAGACAGTAGGGGAAGTGGGGCAATGTGGCCATCCGCTTAAAAATCAACTGATTGAACATATTTTGCAAAACATCGGTTGCAGGCCTAATGCTTGAAGCCTACTTCAACTATCCATTTCATTTAAGTCTAACAAAATACTTTTCTCTAGAGCAAATATTCGAAAAATGTAAGACTAGCTCAAAATGCCAACGCTGCTACAAGATTTCTGAATCAGAAAATAACGTCTATCAGTAGTTCCTTATAACTTACCGTTGATAATCCTTCAGCAGCTTTATAAATGGTCATTGGTTCTCTTATATGACACGATGTTTTTCTAGTTTTTAATAAACATTATAGATTTTCTTAACAGAATATTACTTAAGTACATTTGGGGCAATATGAGCACCACTGATATTTCAACTTAAATTCTTCATTGTTGCATTGTTCCTTTCATAAATATGACTGTATCATATGAAATTACGCTTTGAAGTATCTGCTTTTGGTAAAAAAAACAGTCATTCACAAGACTGAAAAAATATAGCCCTTAATAGGCAGTACTTCTAAAATTTAATATATTCTACAGAAAATAATTGTTTCTTTAATTTTTTTATGCTAAAACTGTTCATTGTTGACCTTTCAGAAAGCCACAAGAGAGCAGAATATTCTTACCCATTGCTTACAAGGTCGCTCATACCACCCCGACAGGGTGCTCATTTTACCTCAAAGGTTTAATTTCGGTTACAAAACGTCGACCATAAGATTCAAAAGTTTACTTTTAATATTCAATTTGTATTCATGATATAAATAGGGCTTGAAGCCATCTATATGGTTAAACACCATTCGAATTTCCCACTGAATTTTGTATGATTAGTGATGATTTTCTTAAGGTGGTCAAATTGCCCAACTTTCACCTATTGTTTATTATTATTACCCCCGATAATCCGACCGTTTTTGATCTGAACACTTTTTAATTTGAACCCAAAACATCAATTAGCTTACGGAATGGAGTAAAACGAAATGGAACATTGTAAAACGTAACGCAGAATCAAAACAAAACAGCAAATAAGGCCACCAGAAAAACGATTTTCTTATGCTCATAGGGTTACTAGAAGTTCAAATTAAAAATTAATCTCGTTAATATGAATGAAAGGTCGTTCAGATTATCGGGGGTTCACATTACTGTTATTTTGCATTAAATCGAATCTTCTAATGGACTCCCATATGAAGTTGGACTCCCATATTTATTTGAAGAATTTCTGCTAAACTTATTGAAATATTCAAAGGAAATTTGATGAACAAATTTAAGTAAAATTCTTATAAGAATTCGAAGGAAACTTAATTAAAAGTTTCAATTATTTAAGAAAATGAGCAACTTCAGTGGAAATTTATGAAGCTAGAACTAGATTCCAGAGAAATAGCACAATTTTGAGAATCATTTATGATGGAGTGCATTTAATAGGAATTTTAAGGTACATCACGAAACACTGAAAGGAATTTTTGACTTTGGAAGAGCTACATAAATCGCACCGAATTAATCCTTTGAGAAAATCTTCGTAAACTCCTTTGAAGAAAACTTGAGGAATTTTGTATTACTATTACATACTGAACAAACTTTTGATTGAGCTTTAGAAGAATTTAATATGTCAGATGATTCTGTAATATTCGTGCAAGAATTAGTAGAACCTTATATTACATTAGAAATGTGTAGAATTTGCTTAGCAGAATATTGAATCAATATTATGGGTAAACTTGTCTGAAAATGGAGCATTACATGAAGAACGCCTGCAGAAATACATTAGAATTCCATATATTTTTAAAAAGAAGCTGAGGACGGATCTGGCGTAGCAGGTACCATTCATGTTTTTCAACGTCAGTAGAAGTGAAATCTATTATAGTCTACAAAGAGCAGTTCTGGTGTAATAACTAGTATTTCTGCAATAAACCTTCTAATAAAAACCTTCCAGCTAGGTACTGAACGACCTGCGAATTACCGAAATACAAACCAAAGATAGAAACATCGGATAGTGTAGCTGTACTTACCAGAACAAAGTGTCGCCTACGATTATAATCCATGAGCCTCTGTCGGAGGTATCCTTTATCCTCAAATTACATATCCACACGATAATGCAGAACATTTGCCCATCCCACTGCACTTTTTCAATTCGCTCATCACTGGGAGATAGAGCGCAACCTGACCAAGCAACACCTCAGCACTTCGCCACCACCACTAGACGTACACCACACTCTCCTATTCCGCCCAGTAATCCCCATCGGATGGAGGAACTATCTTCTCGGGAACTTCCCGTCGTGGATGATTTTCAAGACAGCAAAAACTCCCAAAAACTTGCACTATTCGATTGGGAAACATCTTGCCCACGTAAAACGCTACTCGAACCACCAGATGAATGCACTTTTCACTATGAATTATCGCAAAAACAACATTTTTCCGGCGATTATATTTTCCCTGCGTAATGGCGTTTGTTTTTGTTTCGCAAATTTTTTGATGAATTCCATTTTTCCCTTTCCTTTTTGCTCACATCTTCGCGATCCTGATGATGCTTCGACCGAGTCAAACGTCAAACAAACGCAAACGCTTCAGATTGATTTTATCGATGATGATGATGGTGATGATCATGATGACTACATATAGGTGTTCTAATGTGTCAAATTTATGATTCTGCCATGTTGGATTTTTGTATGGGACAGAGACTGATTTTTTTTACAATTCGCTCTAAAATAGCACTTTTTTACCCCGCCATCTTCTCGCCCATATAGTGATAAAGCTGTATCACCATGTTATACTCACTATGGTGATGATGACTGGCAATGATGTGAATTGGGAACAATGATGCCAGACTCTAGGAAAACCAGCCCAGTGGCAAACGCGTAGGCAACATATTATACCGTGACAGCGGGCCCAGCACAGCAAAATAAACGATTTGAGCCCGGGACATGCTGCCTACTGTCAAACGCTGATGTTGGTATATCCCTTGTCACTGGCCTGAGGAAAACTGCCATGTATTCTCGCATGTGTTGCCAATTCAGAGAAAACATCCCGCATAAACGCGAACCATCACATGACCTTACCGATAATGGTTATAAATTGTTTATAATCCCTGCTAAACTTCAACTGAAATGGTTATGGAACTTTACATGAACGTTTGTGTGATAAAGTTTTAACCTTATGTATTATGGTTTTTTGGAAGCGGACCTTACAAATAATGGGTTGTTAAGAACCATTACCATTCCAAATTCTTGTTTTCTCCATACATTTTCGGAAAGAGAACTATATTAGAACGTTTTTACTTATGGTTTGAGAACATTAATGGTAATGGTTATGGTAGTCAGTAAGGTCCATTAATGGTTTTGTATTATCGCTCAACTTTACGTGAAATATATCGTGAATTGGTAATCAGTAATTTACAGGCAACCAATTCGCGATATATTCCACATAAAGTTGATCGATGTTACAAAACCATTCATGGACCTTACTGGTTACCATTACCATTACCATTAATGTTCTCAAACCATAAGTTTAAAGGTTTTAGTATAGTTTTCTTTCCGAAAATGTGTGGAGAAAACAAGAATTTTTAATGGTAATGGTTCTTAACAACCCATTATTTGTAAGGTCCATTGGTCATTCCAAAAAACTATAATACTTAAGGTTAAAACTTTATCATTAAACGTTCATGTAAAGTTCCATAACCATTTCAGTTGAAGTTTAGCAGGGATTATAAACAATTTTAACCATTTTAGGTAAGGTCAATTTATGGTTCGCGCTTATGCGGGATTGCATTTGCCGTCATATTATTAGCTTTGAACGGCTTTAACAGCGAGCTTAACAGCATGTTGCGGCTGTCAGTTGAAACGGCAATATTTAGAGGAGAAAGAAGCGATTGTACGACTTTTACCCAAAAGCTATTTCCTCGAAAGAGATTTTTCCCTAAATGGAACGATTCCCCGAATGTATTGTTTCCCCGAAAATTCTTACATTATAACTCCAGAACAACATGTGAAAAGGGCATACAAGCTTTTTGTAAACAAACCTTTGTAGGCCCTTTTCTCACCAACCGAGGGTCGCCCCCGCAAACCAGCAATATCATCGGGAAAGAGAAAGTGTCCCCTAACCGGTGATGTTAAAGGTTTGCGTTGGAGTCATATGGGTGGCGAGAAAAGGGCATAAGAAGGTTTGTTTACAAAAAACTTGTATGCCCTTTTCAGATGTTGTTCTGGAATTTAGATTAGTATCAAAACGATTCTATAATATTCCCGGAATGAATAATTTAGCCCATGGATCAATGAAAATGCTGAGGTTTTGACAGAACTGTGTTGTGGCTACCACAGTATTTTACATTTGATCGCTCATATACAGAAGCATGCTGTGGTGGGTTCAAAACTTGAACATATAAATTCAAGAACAACATGTGAAAAGGGCAAACAAGCATATTGTAAACAAACCTTCTTATGCCCTTTTCTCATCACCCATATGACACCAACGCAACCCATCAACATCACCGGGTAGGGGAAACTTTCCCTTTCCCGATGATGTTGTTGGTTTGCGTGGCCAACCCTCGGTTGGCGAGGAAAGGGCCTACAAAGGTTTGTTTACAAAAAGCTTATATGCCCTTTTCACATGTGGCTCTTGAATTGATCAATTGGAACCACTTCAATCGAAAAATTCGTACCTTTTTGTGCGAAAAATAGCAAAGTTACGTATCCGATATTTATTGATAAATTAATGAAATTTGACTTTCAATCATGCTTCAGATTTTTCTAATTGATGTGTTCTGATCATCAACAACCTCGTCGATTTTGCCCCTGATCTTTTCGGTAAGGAAACCTACTCCCCCTAGCGTAAGTGTGAAAATTGAATAGAAGTTTAAATTTAGCGAAGGGACAATAATGCAACAGTACTAGTCGAACGCACACTTCTTCACCTAGCTCATACATTAATGTATGAGGGGACTTGAGTTATTTCCTTAAATCCACTGGCAAAAGAGTGCGCGTTTGACTTTCTCATATACTTACTGTCTGCGACTGAGGAATATGTCTAGCGACGTTTATCACTACCCACGTTGTCGAAAGCATTTCCAGGCGATGGTATGATTTTCCTATGTTTCGAGGGGTGCATCGATTAGCTTGGGACCGAAGATACCAGAGCTGAGGCAAAATGTTGAGCACGTTTCTTAGGGACCTTCTTGTCTTCTTGTCACGTGATATACTCTGTCTTGCAATGAGCACTCATACATAGGATTTCCAGTGAAAACTAGATGTATCAGTGCTCATTGCAAGGCAGCGTATATCACGTGATATACGCTGTAATGTGAACGGGGTATAAGACCACTGGGTCCCGAAGAAAATCATTATTATTTTTGGCTCACTCAGTACCAGAACAACGGTCCCAAGCAGTCCCAAGCTATTTCACTCACTTTAAGACTAGTAGGTCCCGAAGAAACGTGCTCAACTTTTTGGCTCAGCTCTGGTACTGTCTTCGGTCCCAAGCTAATCGATTCACCCCTCGAAACATAAGAAAATCCACTAACCACTCATTTTATCTGTCAAACTTTCATACACGGCGAATGAGAACAAACATTGTGTAGTACTAGAATATTGACTAGAATAGAATGCATGAACCCGCATGCAAAAGTTATGAATTGGTTCGTGTCTGATTTATTCTGGACAAATTATTTTTTATCTAGATCAAAAGATCCTATGGTTTTGACAGTTCGGATCACTGCACATTTAAATCGGTCGTTTACGATTCTCGGGCATAAGCTCGGGCATAAGTCAGAATTAAGTGTCATGTCGGCTTGTCGGTGGTTTTTTTTACATTGGGGCGAATGTCTTTCAGGTGAATGGTATTTGGGGGAATGCACAACGCCATTGGGAAACTGCTACAAAACAAATCAGGCATAACATTTGATAACGGCACAAAAGCATTTGTAAACAAACTTTCTAAGACCCTTTACACGCGAACAAAAGTAGGCCCACGCAAACCAATACCACTTTCGGAAAGGTGATAGTTGTCCCTATCCGATGATGTTGTTGGTTTGCGTGGGCGTGCTTTAGTTCGCGTGTAAAGGGCCTTAGAAAGTTTGTTTACAAATGCTTTTGTGCCGTTATCAAATGTTATGCCTGAAATGTCCAGGAGAAATTGCCGGCAACTTAACTTGAGTCGTGACGTCCATCAAGTTGACAACGTCAGATAGAATAATAGGACAGAAGCAAGCCACGATTTGGAAGAATTTTTTAAATTTGTTATTAGCTCAGTGTTCGGAAAATCATTCTCAAATCTCATTCATTGAGCCGCCCTGCGAGAATGAACTCGCGTGCGAATGCGGCAAACAAAATTCACGCTTGAGATTCTCATGCATATTCACGCGCTCACACTCACAACGCCGAAAAATCATTCCAGCTTTAAACTCATAAAAACCACTCAAACGTCAATTGATATCATTTCTATTCATGTTGTGTTAGTTTTCCAACCCCTGATGCACAAACAATAGTAATAGCAATGAATAACGCCAAAATATAAAGTAATGAATTTTTGAACCTGAAAACTCATCGGTGATTTTTGCGACGTTGAATTTTGCAAAATAATACCAACAATCAACACGAAACTAACGATTTTAAATTGGCTCACCACTTTAGTAGCCTATTGGTCCCAAGCAAACGATTAACGTACCCTATTCTAGTTGAAATTCTATTACTACACTATGTTTGTTTTGATTCGCTATGAAAGTTTGACAGATAACATCAGGGGTGTGTGGATTCATGCAGAACATGCAGGGGTGAGTGAAATAGCTTGGGACTGCTTGGGACCGTTGTTCTGGTACTAAGTGAGCCAAAAATAATAATGATTTTCTTCGGGACCCAGTGGTCTTAGAGTTACCTCTATGGTAATACTCATACACAGCAAAAAAAAATGTAATATCGATCAACGTAATTCAAGCTGATGTATGAAATAATTATGTAATAGCAAAAAGCAGGTACAATATTACATCAATTGATGTAATTTTGTTCGCAAAATCGATGTACATCGTACAATGTGATATTACACAACCAATGGATTGACCTGGTTGCAGCAGTTTGGATGTAATATTCAACATCTTTTTTTGCTGTGTAGGCGCATAAACTCATGCATGAGATTTGAGTTTTTGAGTTTTTTCCGAACACTAGCTATCCTAGTTAAAGTTAAATGAATCACAGGTCAATGACAGTTTGATCACAGTTTGAATTGAAAAATCCTAAAATTGTCTTAAAACTAACTGAAGTGAGTAAAACCCGAGATAAACTCTTATACCCTATCCAGCTTTCCATGCTCGGTAATGGCGACCTGTTTGTATGAATAAATGTATCCTTCACTGTGCTTTTTGACACTAACTGGAGGGCGTATGTTGTTCCATTTTCTTCTGTTGCTGGGAGAGGGAAAGGGAGGGGTCAAAACCCGAACATCCAGATAGTGTCAAAAAGCACAGTGAAGGGTGCATTTATTCATACAAACAGGCCGCCATTACCGAGCATGGAAAGCTGGATACTGTGGACCCCCGGTAATGTGACCGTTTTTAATCTGGGCACTTGGATTTCTGATCAAAGCACAAAACAGACATCTGCGGAAAATATTTATCCTAGCCACGAACACGCGTACAAAATTTATGAGTTGGTTCGTGTCTACACAGCAAAAAAAGTTGTTGAATATTACATCGAAACTGCTGCAACCAGGTCAATCCATCGGTTGTGTAATATCACATTGTACAATGTACATAAATTTTGCGAACAAAATTACATCCATTGATGTAATATTGTATCTGCGTTTTGCTATTACATCATTATTTCATACATCAGCTTGAATTACGTTGATCGATATTACATTTTTTTTTTGCTGTGCAATCTATTTTGGACAAATTATTACTATGGTTTTGACAGATGGGATCGCTGCACATTTCAATCGGCCGTTATGGATTCTCGATCAAGAGTTAAGTTTAAGTTTCATGTCGGTTTTACACCAGGATAAAATCGAATTTCGCTTTTTACCGATCTGCTTTGATGCTACTCAAATTTGGGTAATTATCAATTAGCGTGCTCCTCTTTCTCCGGTTCTAAGGAACAGAGGAAAATGAAACAACATACGAGTGTCAAACATTACAGTAAACGATGCATTTTAAAAACCGTGCAAGCCGCTAATGCCGAGCGTGGGTAGATAACTGCACGGCGAATGAGAACGACCCAAATTTGCGTTTAGTTCACTCATAATCGCCAAAAGTGCAGGAACTCAGCGATGAGTAAATTTACCTCATGTTTTCCCAGGATTTTCCAGGGAAAAATTCCCGAATTTGAGAAAAGTAAAGATTGGATTCACTCAGTCTATTGGTACTACTCCGAGGCTGAATAAAATTTTCTTCAATTTCCTCATTTTCCGGCTGATTTTTTAGGTTTTCCACAGGAAACCGAGAGACAAATTTTACTCATGGCTGAGTTCCTGCTTTTTTGGCGAATATGAGTGAACTAAACTCAAATTTGGGTTGTTCTCATTCGCCGTGCATGGATATTATTAAAATAAAAAAAAACTTTCTCTGCGTATTTATCAGTTGAAAAATGGCCAATCTTGAGAAAACCAACAACACTTCCCTGTCCGATCTGGTAAGTTTAATCATGACCCACTCTATTCTCTCTAAGGCTCTGAACCATTTGGTGGATTATTTTAACTTTTGGTTAAAATTTGACAGATGGAAAGTTATCGATTAACCCTGCTATCCGAGCGTGGTTACTTCTGACAGACAAGAAGTTAAATTTTGACAACTGTGGCTCGAAAACCGATCGATCAACAGCACGGGGATTTTCGAACATAGAAAATAACTTTCGAAATGTCACTTTTAACCACGAGTTAAATTTAACTCGGCAAATGGTTCACAGCCTAATAAAAACGAATATTTCTCCAACCAGCAAGCCGAAATCGCCAAGCTTCAAATCGACACGCAAGCGTGCATAGAGCAAATCAAAACCAATGCTCAAGCCACGGCCAATATTAAAGTGGAATCTGTGTCCAAGGGTGAGCCAGCGCAATGCTTCAATGGTTCTGGAAGTTAATATGTTCTTTTTTCTTTCTTGCAGATCAATGTGCAGAACTTGAGTATAAACAGGAATGGGCAATTTTTTTCCCTGGTTTAGTAAGCGCTACGACACCCGTAAGCCAAGCTCCTCAAGAGCTAGTAGAACTTCGCCAACAAGTGGAGCTGGCAGAATCGAGAATGACGGAGTACTCGGAATCGGTTTGGCAGTTGTTCGATGAATCAGTAAGGTGATGCTGGTTTTCTTAATGAACAGATTACTCCAGGGTGTTCTTCCAGGTCAGCACCAAGTGGGAGGATGTCAACTCTGCACGTCGTCGTGTTTCAGAATTGCGACAGCAATATCTTCAAATTACGACAGAATTGAAGCGAGTACGCAGTACCATCGAGAAGGACAAACAAAGGGCAGCGGAAGACCGCAGAAGAATGGCGGATATGATTGAATATATGAAGTATTATATATGAAACATTGAATCATGGAGAGTTTTGTTCAACTAAGACATGAATCTTTCAGAAAGGTCAACGTTCAGAAGAGGATCGAAAATGACAAACTGAAGCAAGAGGCAAAGAGCCTAGATGAAGAGATTGGACATTTGGCAGGTGAGTTCAACATCTTGAAGTCAAGAGTTTCAATGGACGCACCATTTGACGAGGAATAAGCGCTACCCATGCTGGACTGCTATTACAATTACCTATTACCTACTACTAATCCAAATTTTGATGGATTAATTTCCACTTGATATAATTTATTATCTTTTCAACAAGCAAATTTTGAAGAAAAAAAAAACAAATTAAAACTGAATTAAATACTGAACACCGTCGACAGTATAAATTCGAAAAATCATCTGCCAAATACTTGTTTGGTAATATTTTCTAAAAACTGCTGCATAAACTAATAAAAGTTAAAATTTAAAATTTGTGTAACAAATTAAAATACATTTACTTTAAATTATTAACATAATCAAAAACTGGTTTCATTTTTGTAATTATAGTTCTTTTCATTCTAGATTCTAGATCAAGGGGCAAGACAGTTCCTAATCATGAGCAAATAAATAAATTTAGCAATTAAATTCCCGTTTTTCCGGCTGGGTAGCCACCCTGCAATGGCGGATAATCCGTGCTCAAGTGGTTGATAGCTTGAGAGAAGTATTCAACAGCTTCATCAATGCTGGGTATGTGGCATCGCCCGGCAACACTGGTCAGTAGGTAGCGGTATCCTTGTGACGGCGGCAAAGGACCAACCAGATCAATATGAAGGTGTTGGAAACGAGCCTTCGGTAGGTCAAATTTTCCCAACGGAGAGACGGTATGTCGATGCACCTTCGACCGTTGGCAGTCGACGCAGTGTTTGACAAACTCATTTATTTCACGGTTCATAGCTGGCCAAACGAATCGCTCGGAGATTAACTTCCTGCTGCCTAGTGCTCCTGGGTGAGAAATTCCGTGTAGGCATTCCATGATAGTTCTCCGTTGAGTACTTGGAACGAAAGGTCGTGGTTTTCCGGTCGAGACGTCACAGTAGATCGGTTGAGAACAACCACTCATCCGTTTTGCTTCAAATTTCAGCGAAGTAGATTTGGATTGCATCAACTTACTTTCGTCCGATTTCTTCATAGTCCACCGAAGTAGGCGCTAGTATACTCTCCACACGAGACAATGCATCGGCGACGTAATTTTCACTTCCACTGACATGTTGTATATCCGTAGTAAATTCCGAGATGAAACGTAGGTATCGTTCTTCATGCGGTAGCCGAGAGCTGGAATCGGTTGTTAGCGCGTATGTTAGTGGGCGATGGTCAGTGAAGATCGTGAAGTTGCGTCCTTCAAGGAAGTGCCGAAAATATTTCACAGACATTTTCATCGCAGTCAGTTCACGGCCAAAAGTAGAGTATTTCGTTTGGGACATCGAAATTTTTTTCGGAATAAAATCTGAGTGGTTCCCAATTCTGACCATTTAGCTGCTGCAAGACAGCCCCCGCAGCAATATTTGAGGCATTGATCATCAGAGCTAATGGTTTCGACGAGTCAGGATAGTGAAGCAGTGCTGTCTCCGCTAATGATTTTTTACAACGCTCGAAGCTTGATCAAGCTGCATCTGTCCACTGTAGTTTACGTATGTCGTTTTTCCTGTTCCCGGGAATAAGCTTCTGCAACTCAGCTTGGATGTCGGATGCATGACGAACGAAGCGTTTGTAGCCGTTGGCGAGTGCCAGAAAGCGACGGAGTTCCTTGACTGTTGTCGGTTTCTCGTAGTCCATAATGGCTTGGACGCGTGACGGGAGCGGCCGCACTCCATCACTGCTGATCAGGTATCCTAAAAATTCCACTTCCTTTTGGGCAAACACGCTCTTACCCAAATTTAGAACGAGTCCGTGCTGGCGTAGGCGGTCAAACACTATGCGTAGATGCTCCTGGTGTTGAGCAAGGGATTCAGAAGCGATGCATATGTCATCTATAAAGACAACAACGAAATCAAGATCACCAAAGATTCGGTTCATGTAGCGCTGGAACGTCTGACTTGCGTTACATAACCCAAATTGTATGCGGGTGAACTCAAACAAGCCAAACGATGTGATGACCGCCGTTTTGGGAATGTCTGCTTCCTCCACCGCAACCTGATGATACGCTCGCTCCAGATCAAGAGTTGTGAAAACGGACTTACCATGAAGCGAATGCAGCAAATCGTGGATGTGCGGTACCGGATAACGGTCAGGTGTAGTGATATGATTTAAGCGACGGTAGTCACCAACGAAACGCCATTTCCCGTTCTTTTTCAGCACACAATGCAAAGGACTTGCCCAACTGCTACTCGATGGTCTGCATATTCCTAGGTCACACATAAGGCGAAACTCTTCCTTAGCAGCTTTAACTTTGTCCGGATGCATTCGTCGAACTTTAGACGCCACGGGTGGTCCACGAGTAACTATGTGATGGGTTACGTCACACTGCGTGACAGAACGAAGCGTCGATGGCAGAGTTATTTCCCGGTACTCCATAAACAAATCGTGGAACGGATGATCGGCACCAACAAGTGTTACACTGTGCAGAGCAGCAGTCATCATACCTCCAGAAGACTTCAATCCTGTCTGGCCATCTATCAGTTTTTGGTTTTTCAAATCGACGAGTATGCCGAAGTGCGCCAAAAAATCAGCACCGATTATTGGCATCGTCACTTCAGCAACGAGGAAATTCCAGGTGAATCTTCGTCTCAATCCTAGGTCAACAGGAATAAATTTCGTTCCAAATGTCCGAATTCTACTTCCGTTGGCTGCGTGGAGCTGTTGTATAACGGTACCGTTCAATCGATCTCTCCTGGAGGCAGGCAATATTGTGACGTCCGATCCAGTGTCGATTAGAAACCGTGTATTGTTCGTCCTGTCAAAAATTACCATTCGGCGACTTTCCGACACTCCGGCCACCACCGCCGATGATGGTGGGGAGGATGCTAGTATTTTGAGCTCCATGAACACGGTTCTCGGCACCGCTGAGCATCGTTTCCATATTTCCTATGGTACCAGCACAGTCCGGATCGTGATGACGAACGAGAACCACTTCGGTTTCGCGAAAACGAACGGCCTCTTAGGTTTGGGAGCCTTCAGACGTCGGATTTCCGCTGTGAGAAGTTCTATCTGCTCTGCTAGCTTCCTTTCACCACTGTTGCTGTACGTTGGTTCGTTGTGCACCATGGCAACTGCGGAGGACTGACCGTTGGAGGCGTCGGTAATCTTGTCTGCCATTTCAGCCAACTTCTCGATGGTACCATCGTGGCATGTGAGAATTGGTCGAATGTTTGCCGGGAGGCGTTGAATGAAAATCATTTTGAGCAGATTGTTATCCACGCCCAAACCCGTCGACAACTCTCTCATCTTTGCTAACAGATGCGTTGGGCGCATATCGCCAAGATCGTGGGCCCCCAGCAGCTGTTCGAAGCGGCTTTCAGCAGACAGGGCGAAGCGAGCAATTAGGCGATCTTTCACTGTTTTGTATTTATTTTCCGCTGGAGGAGCAGCTACCAAATCGGCTATGTGACATATAACCGATTGATCCACTTTGGACACGATGTGGTTAAACTTGGTTTCATCATTGACGATTTTCGCAAGGTGGAATTGCGCTTCCGATTGCGCAAACCACACAGCCGGATCAGTTTTCCAAAAATCCGGTAGTTTTACCGCGACAGATGCTGCTGCGTTGCTCCCGTTATCGTCCGGCATTTTGAGGTTAGTTTCGGCTTTGAGATCGAATATCGGTGAATAACCGTGAAATCGGACCGAAACTTTTAGATTCGCGACGTCGCGGGTCACCAATGTAGCGATCGGACACGGAATAAAGAACGATTAGTTACGAAATACTTAAAATCTTTATTTTTACTTTCAATAGAAAAACAACCACGTTCGCGCGTTGATGGCTGCGTAGCAAAGATTGACAGCTTGAGTTCTTTTTCTTCGACGACGACCCGATGGAAGCCAGGCTTGACCATGATTGACCGTTTTACCAGATGGCCCGAAGCGGTTCCACTTGTCGATATGACTGCAGCATCTGTGGCTCAAGCACTGTACTCAACATGGATAGCAAGATTTGGAGTCCCAGAAAACCTGACAACCGACCAGGGACGGCAATTTGAGTCCGATCTCTTTCGGGAGATAACGCGAATGTTAGGTGTTCACCATATTCGTACGAATGCCTATCACCCACAAGCGAACGGCATCGTAGAACGTTTTCACCGAACATTGAAAGCATCGATAATGTGTGTAAACTCTAAGAATTGGTACGACGAACTTCCAATGATTCTTCTGGGACTAAGGGTGGCATTTAGGGACGACCTGCAGTGCTCGGTTGCGGATATGGTTTACGGTCAGGCTTTACGGATTCCTGGTGAATTCTTTCAGTCTGCACCTGGAGATATCGACCGATCGGAGTTTGCCCAAATGCTTCACCGTACGTTCGACAATATAAAACCGCACGATACTAAACGTCATGGAGAACGACAAGTTTTTGTCAACGCCAATTTGAAAACATGTACACATGTATTTGTACGAGTGGATTCTGTGAAGCGACCGTTGCAGCCTTGCAGCATCCTTATGAAGGTCCATTCAAGGTAATAAGACGAGATGATAAGTTCTTCGACGTACTTATTTCTGGAAAACAGCAGCGCATTTCAGTCGACCGAATAAAAGCGGCTTTCACTTGTAATCCGGATTTGCAGAAATATCCTCAAGATGATCATCGTACGAAAGTTACACAATCTGGACATCGCGTAAGATTTTTGGTGTAACTGGAGGGGCCCTGTGGCATCCCCCGGCAACACTGGTCAGCCTGGCTTCCATCGGGTCGTCGTCGAAGAAAAAGAACTCAAGCTGTCAATCTTTGCTACGCAGCTATCAACGCGCGAACGTGGTTGTTTTTCTATTGAAAGTAAAAATAAAGATTTTAAGTATTTCGTAACTAATCGTTCTTTATTCCGTGTCCGATCGCTACAGGTACTTAATGATCAAAATTTGCCAATCGGCTTGTCTCAATGTAAGGAAATCTGCTGTACAAAAATAGAATTATGCCAAATGGCTTTACGTTAAATGGACTACCCTCAAATATTACTATTGGTACGTTGGCTCGATTGGCATCGCCCACCGTTTACTTGAATCCTGCACTCGATTCCCACTTACTAAGGACTATGATAGGACTCGGAAGATGAGAGTTAATCTAAGATATTTGTGAAGCTTTTGAAAGTTCACCTCACAACATGACATGTGACATTCAATAACAACACATTGCACTTATTACCTGTTCACCTTTATTACCGTCGAACTACTTTTCGGCAGTTAACATTTGCTGTCGCTTTCGTTTGTGGTAGCTGCTGTACCGTCGACGGGATTGAAGCTGCAATGCTTTCTTCAACGAGTTCGTCAGACTGGTTCGAGTTACACCCTGGCTTGACCAAGCTTCTGCAAATTTTAAGAAAAGTGTGTGTACTAGAACTAGAATTAATGAAAAATCTTCACCCACCTAGCATACACGAATTGAAAATGGTGTACTTTTGCATAGCTTTCTTTTTGTCGGCTGAGCCGTACCTCTCCTGACCGGTCCAGTTGAAGTTGGACAGAGCATCGTCTTCGAAGAACCGATACAGCACCTGTACCACGTCCAGATGCGGTGGCTTGTTGATGGCCAAGTACTTGATCTATTGTGGTGGGGTGGGAGCTATATTTTAAACGCACTGATAAAACCGAAAGCACTTACATATTGATTTTTGATAATCGGGTTCCGATTGACCATCAGTTCCAAGCGGTCAACGTCCTCTTCGCATGTAAGCGGAAAGTCGAAACCTGCTACCCGGGCCGATTTGGTTGGTTTTCTTATCGAAGGGCGATATACCTGTTGCTTCGGAAGCTGCCCTTGAGTTGCTTCTTCGAATCCCGGTGAGTAGTCTCCAGCCAATTCGGATTTCACAATGCTTGTTTCGTCGCGATCTAGTACTGCACTGTCGTAGGTGGGTGTCATCATCGCTTGATTGGCGACGTCATTGTGTTCCGATTTAATTAGCTTTGACGACAGCGCTTCGAGAAACGGAGAATGAGAAGATGTTTAATGATGTCCAAGCGGTTAAATAATAATTATATTTTGTAATTTTGCAACAGTGAAAAGTACTAGATTTAGATAGTTTGGTTTATCTTTATTTTCTTTTTAAAGGAACCATCATTTCTTGTCCTCCGTCTTCTTGTTTTTCCAGCTTTCCTTCCGCTTCTCGAGCAACCGGTTCCGATAGCGCTGGTAGTATCGAGCCGAGGACAGATGCTGCTTGGCTCTTTGGGTTGCTTCAATGAGAGCTTTCCTGAGCCTTTCCGCTGTTGTGGCATGTTCCTCCCAAGCATCTGAAAACAAAAGTCAAAGGTTATCACTGATCTAAGTATCGAGTCGTCTGGTCTAATTTTGGTCCAGCGCCAAATTACCCAACAGACAGTCCGTAAAGATGTCGTAATCTTTCATGGCCTTCCGATAGTACTGGGAATTCTTGATACCATGGTAGGTGTAGTTCGCTAGGGATTGATCGGTGAATAATCGCTGGACGATCGATACAATGTTCTGATGGATACCCGTCCTGGACATTCGTGCGAAAGTTATCTGCAAAGGTAGTTTCCAATTAGCATTGAATTAGATTAGACATTTATGCTAAACTTGCTTACATATTCCTTGCGAATAACCGGATTTGTCTTGACCATTTCCTCCAGTCGCTCGACGTCATCCTCGTGTCGCAAAGGGAAAACGAACCCAGCATGGCGTAACGACTTCACCGGAACGGAACAAACATTCTCGTCGTCAGAGTCACTTCCGGATGCTGCTTCGGAACAGATTTCGATCATCATGGTGACTTTTTCCTCTGGAATAGAGTTAGTTCAACATGTAAGTGGCAAAGGTTTTTAAGTTCGCATCTGCAGACTACGCAATAGAAGAAAGCGTCAAGCTATCCAGCTAACTAATTTTATTCAATTCAAAATTCAAGCACAAGAATGTCAAAGTAAGAATAACGGTGTTCACTGTTGTTTAGTTTTCGGATTTAGCGTTCAGCATCTTCTTGATGGATTTCTTCGCTCTGAAGGTGCGCTGCCGCATTCGGTTGCGGCTTTGCTTGATCGCCGAAGATATCTGGCTGGCCAGGTCGTGTAGTTTCATTCCTTCCGATTCGTACGCTTCTGCGGGATAAGAATTAAAGGGTGATTTAGACAATATTTAGTCGTGTGTTGAGTAATACGATACATTTTTAGAATCTTTGGAAAAAAATTACGTCCAAGTTCAAGGATCCTAATCAATTTTTTAAGTTTTTTTTCTGGTTCGTTTATTTGGAAGGCTCAATCGCGTTAGCTTTACGGAGTCGGTAATTCATTGTTCATCGTTTTTAACAAAATTCACTTATTTCTAAGGCTCTGAACCATTTGGTGGAGTTTTTTAACTTTTGGTTAAAATTTGACAAATGGAAAGTTGTCGATTAATTCTGCTATCCGAGCATGGTTATTTCTGACAGACAAGAAGTTACATTTTGACAACCGTGGCTCGAAAACCGGTCGATCGACAGCACGGGGATTTTCGAACATGGAAAATAACTTTCGAAGCGTCACTTTAACCACGAGTTAAATTTAACTCAACAAATGGTTTACAGCCTTAGAAATTTTTCACTTAAATTTGACACTTCGAAAATAAATTGATGTTCGAAAATCCCTCTGTTGTTGATCGGCCGATTTTCGAGAAAGCGTCTGTATAAGTTGATTCCTTGTATGTCAGAAATAAGGAAAGTGAGCTTTTGAACTTAGAATTCTTCATGATTTTGGGGATTGGAACTTTTTTTTTTCAAGATTCCATGGCTTCGATTGTTTCATTCAGATTTTGGGACTTGGAATTTTATAAATAGGTGTTAATTTATTAATTTGTTTTACAATTCATCTGACAAAGTTGTCTTAATGAATAAACTATTCGTTATCTTAAATAAGCTTTAGTCTTCTTACTCTATTCACGTGGACACGACGGATACAAGCATACGAACCATTGCACAAATAGGCTGGCTGTAGCCATAGAGAGTACGATGAATACTCGGTTGTATCATGGATTTCTGACGTAACATCCTACCTGAAGCACGGAAATCAAGCAGTGACAGAAGATGAGAGCAATCGACGTCACCGTTGAGTAATTTAGCTATAAACGTAGTCTGTTGTAGCTTACGTCTTCGAACAAGCATTTCCCGAACTCCTCCGAAGTTCACTGAGCTTCTACAATTTTTGTTGAACTTCTACGAAGTTACTCGAAAAAAAAACCCAGCGCTTCTCTGAAGTTTTACGAAGTTCCTCGAATTGCAACGTAATTCGCTTGACTTCTACAAAGTTCTCAGAATTCCTACGAAGTTTGCTGCACTTCTACAAAGATCCCTGAACTTTTTAGAATTCCGTTGATTTTCTGCAAAGTTTCCTACAGTTCTCCACAGTTTCCTGAATTTGTACGGAATTTCCTGATCTATTTCAAGACTTAAGAAGTGCCCTGAAGCTAAAAGAAGAACTTTTATGAAGTTTCTTAAAATAAACCAACGTCCCCATAACTTCAACAAAGTTTTCAAAAATTGTGTTAGCATTCCAGTTCTACATAGTTTTCCCCGAGATGCAGGAACATTTTTGATTTGCTGTTGAGAGGTGCGGGCACGCTTATTAGAAAGAGAGAATATTGATGACGATTTTGAAGATTTCCTGTAAAAAGGTGAGATTCGCTAGAGTGAGATTTTTCGATCATCTAAAATTGAGATAGTCGGGGTAGCAGTCGGTGCGGACGCTATTCCCACACCGGAACTGACAATAACCCCCCGACGCCGGAAAGAGACTGGAAGAGGGTCGCACAAGAGTGGCAACACCCATCTTCCTGTGGACGACGAGGGAAGATAGGATAGTTCCAGTATCGGGACGGACAAGGGAAATTCAGCCCATTCCCCGAAGGACTTCACGGAAACGAAAGAAAGTCGCAGCACCTCTGGAAGATGCAAGCAACAGCAAAGTGCAGTCAAATGTAACACCAATTCTCTCTCCGTTGGGACACCCCTGCTCTGGGTGAGTGGAACGCCTCTACCTGCCCTTGGTGGGGCTCTATCTCATTCGGCATACGTAACCGATTCCTCAACCGACTTAACCGATTCCTCCAGCATCTTCAATATAGATCCGCCTGACGCCAAGCTGATCCCCTTTGGGTCATCGCATTGCAGGAGGTAAACGAAGCCTCCGTCGAACATATGAACCGCTCCCTCGGCGGAAGAAATTTCCGCCACTCCGTAGCCATTGGGGTACTAAACACGGTACCTTTCCGGGTTATCGACTTGGACTCACAACTAACCATACTCGGGGTTCAAATTACAGAACCAGTCAACATCACCGTTGCCTGCGTTTATTTGCCATGTGGACGAATCGGTAACCTCAACTGTCAACTCAGCGAGACCCTAATGAAATTACCTGAACCACGCGCACCACTCAAATTGGGATTGCCCTCGGTCAGACCTTCGTGGCACGGATCTCGTGGACATGTTCGAGAAGGAAGATATGGTACTCTTGAACGATGGTGCTCCAATGTATTTCAACGGGAGATACACATCCGCTATCGACGTAACAGTGGAACGTTAACTCTGACATGTACGGTAATGACCACTACCCCATAGAACTCTCGGCGACCTTCGTCCCGGCGGTAACACGGAGGCCGTGATGGCGGTATGAACAAGCGGACTGGGAAAGCTACGGCGTCATTGTGGAGACTCTACTGCTACAGCGGAACACGGACAGTATCCAGGACCTCTCGGACGCCATATGCAAAGCAGCAACGGCCACCATCCCCAAGACCAGCAGCGTACCGGGGATAAAAGCCCTCCGCTGGTGGAATGAAGATACGAAGAAGGCAGTCAAAGCCCGGCGCAAGGCACTTCGACGTGTAAAGCGGCTCCCCATCGAACACCACGACAGAGAGGAGACCCTTTGTCACTACCGTGAACTACACTACCAATGCCGACAAGAAATCCGTGATGCCAAGCGATCCAGCTGGATGGATTTCCTGGAAAGGATGAACACATCGCAATCCTCAGGCGGATCTCTGGCAGCGAATCAACGGCCTTAGTGGGAAACGACGCACGACACCACTTCACGTCCAGGTTAATGGTTTCACGGTTTCCGATCCGGAAACGGTAGCTGATGAACTCGATACCTACTTCGCCGAGCTCGGAACCATTGACAAGTATGACAACAAGTTCAAGCAGAAAACCAAGCCATCGACCGCATCCAAGCTTCCGGTATAAACCAAGCTTTCTATTGGCAGGAACTGCAGCATGCCCTTCACTGCAGAAACGGGAAGTCGGCGGGACCCGACGAAATTGGATATCCTCTACTCAAGAGGCTACCAGTACCAGAACAGCTACGGATTCTAGACCTCTTCAACAATCTCTGGCTCACTAACGGGTACCCAGCAGTATGGAAGGAAAGCTTGGTAGTTCCCATCCCGAAAGCCGGGGTAGCCACCGTGAAGTCAGCATGTTCTGTCCAATAGCGCTAACATGTTATATAGCCAAAGTCCTAGAGCGTATGGTCAATCGAAGCCTGAAGGAACACCTCGAAGCTGGACATTTCCTTGATCACCGACAGCACGCTTTCCGACAAGGTTTCGGAACGTCCACCTATTTCGCAACCCTAGGGGAAGTTTTCAAGAACGCCTACGACAGTGGTCTGCACATCGAGATAGTATCGCTTCGACATATCGAAGGCCTTCAACAGAACGCGGACGCCCCTCGTCCTTAAGCAACTAATCGACTTCTTGTCCAGCCGCTTATTCCGAGTCGCAGTCGGCAACACCAAATCCCGACTTTTCCCCGAGGAAACGGGTGTCCCACAAGGATCGGTTACCGCCGTTACCCTGTTCCTCGTGGCGATGAACGGAGTCTTCTTGTGTTCGTCTACGCCGACGACATTCACCACAACGTCACCACCGGACCCACGCCAATACGTACAAAGATGAGAGCCCAAGCGGCAGTCTCCGCCACTCAGTAGGCTTTGAATTATCAGCCTCTTTTTTTTTTTTTTTATAGTCACTTTAACGCTTTTGGGTCATTCGTGACTTGTCCGGGGGTGAGATTTGAACTCGTGACTTTGGCGTGAGAGGTATGGATGCTAACCACTATGCCGGGGTCGCCCCCTATTATCAGCCTCTAAAAGCATCAGGAGCCATGTCTGCCCTTCTCGACACATAATTAGCGGACCACCGATCAAAATCGAGTTGGGAGTTCTCGTTGACCGATTCCTCAACTTTGAACAGCATTTCAGTGCAGTCAAGAAAAATTGCTGCAGCCGAGTGAATCTCATCCGGACCATTTCCCGACAGAATAGATCGAACAACCGCAGCATCGGTTTTCACGTGGCGAGTGCAATTATCAACAGTCGCCTTCTATACGGGTTGGAGATGACCTGCATCGCAACGGATAAGCTTATAGCTACGTTAGCACCAGTCTACAACACCTTCGTCCGGATTGTCTCTGGCCTGCTGCCATCCACGCCCGCTGACGCTGCATGCATCGACGCAGGCATCCTGCCTTTCCGCTTCCGTATAACCGCAGCTATAGCAACCAAAGCCGCTGCTTTCATCTCGAAGACATCCGGAAATCAAGGGATATTCCTCCTTGACGAGGAGAACAAACTCCTCCGCACGGCTGCCAACGAAGATCTCCCCCCAGTGGCCAAAGTCTACTGGTATGGAGACAATTGCTGGCAAACACCATTACCGAAAATCGAAAGCCGGAGCCACGTGCAAAGCCGGAGACAATTCCGTGGCCATTGAAAGGACTGTAGCTGAAATGTTAGGAGATAAATACCCCACGCACACTCACCGATACACGGACGGATCTCGCTCTCGGGCCGGGGTCGGTATCGGTCTAGCCGGAAACATCACACCAACCAGCTGCAGCTTACCGCCGCAATGTTCTGTCTTCTCTGCTGAAGATGCTGCCATCTACATCATGGCATCCGAGGCCCCGACTCATCCCTGGGTACAGGCGACGATGAAGTCCGCGCAACCAAACACGGTATTCTGCTGGGTTCCAGGGCACTGCGGAATACCAGGCAACTCGGAAGCTGACTTTCTGGCTGAGGCAGGACCATCTGCCCTTCGCTATACCAACGATCGTTAGTAAAGT